TTAATACAATTGAAAAAATTTTTATTCAGAGATAATAATAGAGACTGCAAAAAAATATTGGTGGTTAAAATAATAATAAATTTAATATTAATTTGCGCATCTAGAAAATTAGCAACTAAATTTTTTTTTCATCAAACATACTGTAATAACAGATTTGCATTAGAAGCAAGTTAATATTATAATAAACAATATATTAGTCTCCTTGATGAAGAATCTCTCGCAGATTTCAATAAATAATTATGTTACTAATTTTAGGAATGTTTCTTTTGTGCGGCCACACATATTTAATTTATTGGTTCTCGTAACATTAACTTTTTAAATGCAGTATTTTCATATAAGAAAGTGGCAATAGAAGAGTTTAAATTATTAATTCAAGCTTTATGGGCAACCAGATATGCACTATCTGTTATTATTAATGGCTATGAAAAAATAGGAGAAAAATTGTTAAAAGATTATAATTGGATTGCTGGTTCTGACCCACATGAAGTCGATTGCGGAATACAAGGCTATCAATTACACACTTCGCCGTAATGAAAAGCATTTTTAGCTATCTTGGTGTGGGATATATAATCCTTATTGCTTAAAAGCTTCTTAAATATAATTAACAAAAGTTTACATAATAAAAATTATCGTTTTGATAATTCGAAGTTAGTTAAAATTCAAAACAAGCGAATCTACGCTTCAAATATTTCTTTACAAAACTCGACATCAAACCCAGAAAGTTTTGCACGTAATATCACATGAATTAACAGACCCATGGGTTTGTAAGATCCTATGATCATAATATCTATATTTTGGCACTATTAAATTGATTAAGCTTAATTCGGGCCATTGCTAAATAACTCCCATGAATGTTATTTTGCGATAACAAAATTCATTGAATTTTTATAAAATATAATGTTATCCGATTCAGGATCTAATAAAATAAGTAAATACATAATTTGAATAAACATAATAAATTTCTATATTCAAAACAAATATATTTAGCGATCCTAAAATTTATTTTCATAAAGGTCTTTGTAATTTTCATCAAAATACTCCTTTATTTTTTGGTCTAAGAATTTTATGCCAAATATCATTATATTTGCTGCTCAAAAACCTTACTTATTCACAATAACCGTTCCTATAACCAGTTTTCCTCTTATATATTGATTTATCAGATTTATCTCGCACGATGAAAAAGTATTGCTAAGAAACTATTTAAATAGCCTTTTAATCTGGACACAAAGCAGAGAACTAAATATATTACACTACCAATCACCCTGAAAGCAGATAGAATCATAACTGACCAAAATACTAAAACCAAATAATTAAAATTAATAAACATTATAATCATTTAAAATAAATTTAAATAAATAACATACCAAAAACCAAATAAGGATTATAATCGTGAGTTGAAAAATATTTTGCAAAAGTATTTGATGTGAATAAAAATATTATTAAAACATTTGTAAATATCCATGAAAGAACAAAATTTGTTCTAAACAATCTATAATAATCATCTTTCTTTATAATGTTATTGCGGTGTTTTTTCTCTTCATGATCTTTATTTTTTAACTCCTAGATAATATTTTCGTATGCAGCATTTTTATCCTCACCTTCTTCAATTATATTAATTTTAACAGATTCTGGATCTTCTTCAGTTAGCAGTACTCCGCTCAGATTTCCAATATTAATATTATCTCCTTTTGTACCCATGAAACATCATGAGTATTACAAAAAGCATAAATCATAATAATATTGACATAGGAAGGAACAAGTAAAAGATATTGAACTAAACAGCTGAACATATGCCATGGTTCACAATGAATAAAAGATGAAAAAAAATATAGCAAGTAAGTTAAAACAACAGAAATTATGATATTACAGAATGCTGCATTCCTTAAAGTTTCTTGAATATTCGAAAGGTTCTTAAAATCTATTGGTGGTATTGCTTTAGATAAAGTGAGATACATAATATAAATTGAACAGTAAAGCATAAATGCTATGATAATTGCAAAGAGGACTATACAGAGTGTGTATATCAATTTTGTTCCTTGAGGACGATTACCCATTGAACAAATGAAAATTATTACAATAATTATTAAATACAACGATTGTGCAGCATCAAATAAATTATCACCATGGCCTTTGAAAGGATCAATTGCAGGATTTGAAGTGGTGGACTGAATTAAGAAAAAAAATGACAAATAAAAATTTGCCTAATTTAAGTAATGAATAAATTAATAAGTGAATAATATCAATCTTAAACTTTGTTTACAAATATTAAAGATTTATCATATTTACCAAAGAGAACCAGTTGAAGATTAATTGTATACCATTATAAACGAATTGTATTTGTAATAATATTTTGCGAAAAAATGGTTGTCCAGATCTCCAAATACGATTAAATTTGGAAATAGAATAGAAAGCAGTAAAGAAAGATCCATTCAACCAGCGACGACGTTGGGAAATAAATTCAGGCACATTGTCTGGGACATCAGTTTCTGCTTTAGCTGACTAAATTATATAATAAAGTTGAAGTTTGAAAAATTATAAAATACTAACTACTAATACAATTATCAAGAAAAGACTTGAATTGTAAATATTTAGACCAAATAAAATAATTATTAATTTGTAAATAATATTTACCTTTATGTATTTTAATTTCCATGATTCATTTTTCTTAATAACAAGCTCAAAACTTAAAATACGATCTTCTGCCAGGTACATGTTTGCTTCAAATATACCAGTCTTAGTAGCATCTAACCTATACATAGTCTCACCTTTAAAGTATGATTCCAATGGTCCATTTATTATTGCTTTATACCTGTATATGGAGAAAACACCTGGTAATACTGAGATGTAGCCAAAAACAGACTCAGATGGTTTGTCTAAGATATTAGACATTTTATATTTAAAATTTTGAAAAGCAATTAAAGGATTAAGAAGGTTTCTACATTTATAACCAAAGTCTACTTTAATTTCTCCACAAGCACCACCTACATGAGGATCACTATTAAAAGCTAAAAAAAAATTTTCGATATAAATATCAATGTCACAGGTAATGCTGAAATTAGCTGATACCAAGATTTGGAGTATTTTCTATTCATATTAATTCACAAATACAAAAAATTAAAAATGTATTAAAATATATTATAGTTTTAAGTTCAATTATCAGCATCAGCTAACCTCAGCGTAAAAAAAATTAAGTGAGAATACCTTTCCACAAGTAATAAACTGAGGTTTGCGAAGGTTTTGTGCCCACATCAAATAAAATACAAATATTTGGGTTCAAAAGAGGAGCAAAAGCATTGAAAGACCAACGATGAAAATTTAATTTTTTTTGCATTTATTTCTTTTAAACAAAACATAATCTGTACTGGTGGGATACTATAGTCTTTCCCTTTGACATTAAAATAATTATCGACCATTAATTGTGTAGTATATTCAAAAAGATGTACAGTAACAGCTCTTTTTTTGATACAATCTTGCATAATTCCATCTTGGTAACAGCCCATAGCACTCAAGACATTTAGTGTCCGTTTATTGATTTTATTACGACCATCTGATACTATTAACATGACAATTTTTTGCCAGCCTTCATCTCCCCAACTTTCTTTTGAACAAATATAAGCGATATTTTTTATAACAGAAGACATTGTTTTAATAAAGAGAGTATCATTTTCATTATACATTGTAATAACAATCATTATTTCGGTATCTTGCTTATATTTTTTTTGTCGTATTAAATATTTTTTTATTTCAAACTCGTCTGGATCGCATGTGATAGCTGTGTATCTTATATCTGTAAATTCTTCACTTTTAGTGTATTTAACTTTTGTAAGAAGTGATTTAGGTACTGGACATTCGAATACCAAATTTTCATTTGTAAGCTTGACAGGCTACAAGTAAAAAATGAAATTTGTTTAAAAATAAATATTTATCTAAAAAATGAATACTGAAATAAAATCACGATACCTTCGCTTTTATGTGAGCAATAAGTTTAATTATTTGTGAAAAATGATAATGACTAAGTTAACCATTTCTTCATTAAATAATAGGTTTATGTTTCAGAATATTGTGTAAACTTTACCTCTTTTTGGCATTATTGTTATTTAAAAAAAAAAAAATACTAGGTCAGTTTTTTATTGCTCGTTTGATAAATTTATGCTAAAAAATTATTCTCATTTATTATATAATTTGCATTTGAAAGTAACATTAAAAAATTGGATTATTAAAATTTTAATTTAATAAATTTTATAAACAATACAAGATTAATCTGATTAAATTAAAAGTTTTACAATTATTTACAAATAAATTAACAAAAATTTTTTCTTGTGGCCTGATTTATTTTGTTACTCTTGAAAAATTATATAATCTATTTTATTTAGCATTTAACAAACTTTTAACAAAAATCCAATTGTAAATTAATTTATAAGTAGTTTTAAAATAAACTATATTTATTAATATGTATTGTTATTTACAGCAATATGAAAAGCTGATGGCTTATTTTTCGAATAAAAATATCAGGCATCCTTCAAACGATCAAGGAATAGCTGATACAAATCACAGTATTTTAAGTAATTTAATCATTGAAATGTTTGAGTAAATCAATTCACAAAGTTTTTTTTTATTGATAAGTATTACTTAACATAATAGAGTTGCCAACTTCAAGCTATTTGAAAATTGTTTGTTTTTGCTAAATAATATTTATATTTATAATAAATATCCATGGACGAATTTTCTGAAATGGAATATTGGAAACAACATAACTTTAGAATAATATCATATAAGAAGACTAATTGGTCTCTAAGAGAAAGAAGATTATTAATCTAGCAAGTTCTAAGCGGCCATTAATTGGTTTGGTTGTTTTTTTTTTAAAAAAAAAAAAATTGATTGAAGAACTTCTATTGATCTTGAATTAGAAAAAAAGCATTCTCATGCCAAAAGATTTTATTTTTAAAATATTTAATATCTATTAACTGAGCTGCATTAGCCAAATTTAAAAATATACTGCATAACATCAATGGGTGTTGGTAACATTCCTATTACTTTCTTGATTTTTTTTGTCCAATAAACATTATTGGCTTAGTAGTTAAGATAATTGCGTTAAATAATATGCAAAGTATTTAATAGGAGAGTATAAGATTTGCACTAACTATACTGTACCTAACTTTAATTTTTGTTAGTACGATAATACAAATAATTAAAATTTTCCAGGCAAATTTGATTTATAGATTAAGGGATATATTTTCCAACTACTGTCTGTAATTTCGAACTCAGCTCACTCTCCTACTCAAAGATATATTCAATATTATTATTTTGTACGAATGAAATTAAATATCCTTTTGTATTGATGTCAAAAAAGATATCACCTTTCGAAATTTGGGCAACGTTCTAAAGATTATATAAAAACATAGCATAAATTTTATGAGGCTATATTTCCACAATGTAAACTCAAAATAGATTATTATAAAATTCATAATTATCTATTTTTAGAATGTACATTTTCTCTTGCCGCACTCATTTTAATAACCTCACTTTATCTCTAACCCTTCTGAAAACTTGTAGATAATAGCATAAGTAGATAATTTAGATCAAAAAATTTAAGTGGCTTAGAGCTATACTTAAAGAAGGAATTGGTCAAAGTTTCAGTAAACATTCTTCTAGTTAATTTAATGTCAGAATATAGTCAATCAAATCTCTATAAAGTTTTAGCCACGATTTTTAAGTTTACATTTAATTATCATATTAAGTACATTGGAATTCATCCTCTGAAAAATATAAATATATTATCTTTGTTTGATAATCCTTAAAACCTCATAAAATGCCATCTGGAATCTTCCTGACACACTTAAACTTTTATATTGTGAATCTTTAACCATACAAAAACCTGAACCATTCTGAATACACAAATCGTTTCTTTCAAATATCAGACTATATACAGTTCCACAATGAATGGCCAACCCTTCGGATCCTGGTTTAATATTTACTTTCTAATAGCTACGACGATTTTTTTGAAATAGAAAACTATCACTAGTTTTTTTCTAAACATTCTCACCTTTCCAATCTAATGGATTATAACCACCTATTAAATCACTATCAAGTAATTTAATAATTACTATAGTGGGCCATTTTCATCACAGTTTTTATAAAAGGTTTCTGACTTTAAACTATTATGCTTCATATTAAATAAAAGTTCAAACTTGTAGCAAATACTTATAATATTCTTTTCTGCTTATCCATATAATTAATTTTTTGGCTGTGTCTAAATCTATAATTTCAGATCTGAGGCAAAAATTGCCATCTCAGACATCATAGTTATTGTCTTTGAATTTTTCGTAATATTCTTGTACCTCGAAAAGTATTTTATTATTTATATTTCTCATTTTCTTATACTTACGTATTATATCATTAATTTTGTCAGAAGTAATCTGGTTGAACTTTATATAATCCATTAAATATACCTTATCCAGAAACCAGTTTGTATCCAACAACCATTGAATCATTTTACTTAATAACAAGTTTTCTTCCAGACATAACTCTGACCTCGATATTAATTTATAGAGAATATTTTCATGAATTTCTTTGTTACTGAAATTAAATAATTGCGCCGGATTCAAACACAAAGCTTTTAAAAATACCTCTTTCAAATCATCATACAAAATAAATTTCTTAATAAATTCTAAAACTAATAATGGGTTGCTTTTCATAATTGTTATAATATTTTCGATGAAATATGATTTCAATCCATGACGCAATACCATGATGCCCATTTCGTCTGTGAGTGAAAATGTATCCAAAAGTGTTCTCATATCATGTGATGCATTGAAGTCTATGCTATAAAGAAATTCAATAATAATATTCATAGAATTGGGTGTGGCATTCGGCTTTTTTATAACAAAATATTTATCTACTTCTCAACTTCAGCCTTTTGACAAGGCACTTTGAAAATATTCTTAAGTATAAAAGAATTGGCATAAATTGTTTCAGTTTTTCCCTCTTTACCAACGATTATCTTTGTATCAGAGAATTTTTTATTTTTATAA